ATATTCATAGGTATGTTTTTATCAGTGTATAATCAATATATATCCTGAATATAGGAAGAATTGTATTTTTGTCTCCTTAGACTGAGACGTTTTTATCTGCAGGTCGCCTTCCATGGAGATGTTGGATCGCCATGTTCCTACAGTAGCCCAGAACAGACAAACTAAAAACTGGCTCTAGATAGGGCCTTTTTCACGACTTTTGCCGCCACTGTAGTTTCACCTACACTCTTCACAGCCCATTCTCATTCTCAGGTTGTCAAATAAAGACGCGAGTGGTGTTCAGTCAGTTGAAATCTGCAACTTCACCACTAGATGCTACTAAATTTGTGTGCCATATTAAGACTATTTTTACCACTTTACCTTGCCTCAGACAGGAAACTGAAGCACAGTGATTTCACCTCACAGGAGGTATGTGGCTAAAATCCGTCTTGCTGCTGTCCACATTGCTTAGCTTCCGTGCTCACACTCCTGTCTGCTGCTCAAAACTATGGGCTTGCTAACCGCCATCTACTACTTACTATGGATAAGTACCTCATACATCGCCTCTGTATATGATGACATATTAATATTTAAGATATATACCTAGAACTTCAGCAGTAGTGAAAATGACATACTGTTAAATAAACTATAATAAAAGTTAACAGAGCATCAGTACTGGCGTTGCAGGAACTTTTAAAACCCAGCTGTAAATGCTGTTTCCCACAGTTGAGGCAAATGTAGAAACGGCTCTGCAGCCATCCATCACTCACACAATAGATCTGTACAGAGGCATTCTCTGTACGCTGAACACGCAATATCATCAGGGGTGGGATCAATGATCTTTAGCCCACTGATGTAATAATCCAACTACTATCACTCTAAAACGTATGATAATCAAAACTGCATTGTTTCCTTCCATTACACAATGTTTTGTTTTGTTCTTATCTTTGTTTATAATGCTCTCTTTTAAGATGTTCTCTTAAATTTGCAAAAATAAGATTTTGGTGGACACTGATGAAGCAGGTGGGTACTAATAAAATTGTGGATATGAACAAAAATAATTTGTTTGTACAATGCTTCCTGCATCAGGCCCAATGTCAACTGTAAGAAATATCCTTCTCTCCCACTTGGGAAACGTGCACTGAGAATAAAGTGTGTCTCTGGTTCTATCTATCAGCACGAGGGAGGTTGAAGCTCTTTCAAGTCAATGTTTAATCTGTTTATAAAGCCTTTATTTTTAGTGCTTTGACATAAATCATACATGAAACCGTGAGTGACTTACTCCAGCATGTCTACACACACACAAATAAAAACTCAAAACTCTTATCAAAATATATTTTATTCTGGACTTTTGTTTCACTGATCTGAGTTAAATGATAACAGATCGATGCGATGCGATTTGCAGAGAGAAAACAAACAGAACAGAAAGGCTTGGAGACCCCATGGGAGAGATGCTGCTGGGCTGACAGGATGCTCTGTTGTGGCGGCACAGATAAAGGCTGACTCAGCGACTTTGACCATGTTTACCCAGACACACTGTGTGGCACAGACCTCAGGATGGCATGAACGCGTGTGAGATATTTTCATAAATGCTGACTCTAAATAGGAACACATGGAATCTCTGTAAGTCCATTAGTAGAAATGTCCAATTTATTCCAGGGGATACAGGAGAAAATAAAGTCCATCTGTGGTTGTACAAACATTTCTCAGAAGCAGCGGGGCTCTGGAGGCAGATGTAATGTTCGTGGTTGAATTAAGCTCCAACTTTCACAAGCTGAAATCAAATTTATAATATATAAATATGTGATATTTTTTGTCCGACTCATTTTGAGTGTGGAAGATTTCATTAGCCTTTCACTGGGTTCTAACATTACCGCAGAGAACATTGGTCCTTTGGCTCCGGAGGTTTAACTTGAGTATGGAATAATATCGGTGCCTCAATGGTGAGTGCATGATGGGACATTTTTAGCACAGAAACAGATAATCCCCCTACACATGTTTTATAGAGCGCCTCCCTACTTCCTAACTGACCAGTGATCCTGCTGGTGCAAACAAAACAGCCAATCAGAAATCACCCACTTAACAGGTTGAAGGAGCACACAGAGAACGTGACGATGCACAGAGACAGATCAAGTGCTCAACGGTGTGAGAACAGAGAGAATTTGAGAGAGGACAAAGAACCACACAAACTAATTTACTGAGCAGAGAAGCGGTTTTTGTCTTCCCAATTAGTTTGGGTGATAAAATAAATATTTCTGCACTCAGAAGGTCCCACTGTGCACTGACGATGTAGGCACAAGTATATTCAACCAATGAGATTGTATCTGCTTCCAGAGCAATTTTCTCCACAAAACATCTGCGACTCCCAACTGCAGCAATGAAAAAGGGGAACCAGAAAAAGTCCCTAGTCTTGGCTCGATTGAAAAAATTACAACTTTATTCAATTTAAAGACTTACGTTTTTTTTTTTTTGGAATAGTCTTATGTGTAAGCCAAGAGGAGTTTCAGGAACGTCATTTTCCCAAAAATATTCAAGCAAAAGAAAAAGTAAAACATTTCTTTATTCAAACATAGACACATTTAGTGGTAGATTTGCTCCTGGGAAAACTGCTCCTCCCCAGGCAAGGTGCCTTCATAATGACGGCTCAGCTCAGTAAGCCTTACATTACAGGGTCAACCTTTACTGTCTGCAATAGCATCAAAGTAACAAAAGAAAATCTTTAAAATTTATAGAACATGTAAATTAACACTGCCAATAAATCATCAATTCACATTTGTTTTTCAAATCTACAAAGAAATTACAAAAATGTAACTTGAAATTTGTCTTTAAAAGAGTATAAAATGTCTCTTGACAATAAAATGTGAGCAGGAGTTTGATGGTGGAGAACCCAGAATGAAGCTGAGAGGGCAGCTGTAAACACACTGCCGCTACAGCTCAGCTTTTTCTGTTTCACTGCTTTAGTTCACCGAGGCTGTCATGTTGTGGGTCTTTTTAAGTCTGGTTGGTTTGTCCTTTTTCACTTCCAATGGGTTCTAAACAACACAAATGTAGATCCCCACACATTATAACAAGTACCTGGTAATAAAAAGAGTCCAGATATTGCTCTAATGTTTTTGGACTTGATTCTGAACCCCTTTACCAGGGATCAGCCAGTAAGACTGAACTGGCTGCGTCTCCAGCCATGAGACTGTAGTTAGTAGTTGTTTTGTGATGTATGTCTGAAGGGGAAAACATACAGAAAGCAAGGCCCGTCTTTCTCTTCCTCTTCCTATGTGAAGGCAGTCTGTTGACAGTCCCACAGAAGCCAGAGCACTGTGCCCGCTTGTGTTTTAAAAGAGTAAAAAGGTAGCAGACGATTGAATGTGTTATAGGAGTGTGGGAGGCAGAGCTGCTGTGAAATGACTGCGTTATTGTTTGAATGAAACCTTCAACAGAGCAGAGCCAAAGTGGACAAAGTTAGCAAAGCTGCTAATCTGAATGACAAAGACCAAACTTTGGTCCAAATAGAATTTAAAATTCCTCAGTGGTCCTGGCACTTGTCCTGTCTTCACACGGCAGTTAGGAGACTAAAACATAAAGAGGCGACCTCCCTACCTCAGACCGCTACGGCTTATTGAGCCAGGCTGTGTCTGAAATCACTCCCTATATGGTGCACTATGTACGTTTATCTGAGTGTGAAATGTACACACGCACACGCACACACACACACACACACTAGGGCTACACGATACAGTAAAATCGTCATATTGCGATGTGATTTACGGTTACTGTGTGAAGGATCAGTTTAATTCTCACTGAAAAAGTATTACAAGTGTGACGATGTGCAGCTTATCGAGGTCTGCACCAAACTAAATGTTGGACCAGGTCGTCACTGCAGCACTTCATTAGGATGCTGTTTGTCATATTTTACCTTTTATTGCACTCGGCCATATTGTGATTGCATAATATTTTGATTCATTGTGCAGCCCTAATATATAAAGCGCTCCAACAGATTCCCAAATTTGAATAAAGAAAGCTACTTTCTGCTCAACAGTCCCACTCTCTGATAGCAACACTACACTGCTGATGCAACACAACAGTAGAGTGGACCATTTCATGTCTGTAACATACGGGGGCCACAGGGTCTTACAAATTCTAACATCCGATGATCTGAATGCCTGAAAATGATTTAAAGTTACCTACAGTCACATTTTTCAGTCGCGCCTTTAAACTAGTTTTACTCTAACCACAAAACCAAACCGCCGTGGAACCAACACTGACTTTCCTTTGTACCTTTTTTGCCAGCATGGATGTAAAATAGGTGTTAAATTGCATTCACAATAAGAATGTACAGACATACCGTGAGACAATTCAATTGCAGTGAGATGAAAACTGGATTGTGATATCAATGTGAAAATGAAACCCTACCTCAGAAATAAAATAACATTCTACATTTTTTAGTTTCTGTCTAATTAAGTCTGTTTCTAGCGTGACTTATATGCAATTGTGATTTGATTGTATCGTTACATCCCTAATTCATAAAGGACTTCAAGTCTGCAGAACCCTGTATATCGAATAGGGGTGGGGGGGTGATTCCAGACAGTTTGACTGTCTTGTAATGCTGCGTTCACGTCAACGCTGTTCAGATTTTTGGGCAAAACACTCCCAGATGTACATCCCAGAATAATGCTCTACCATGAATGCATTAGCAGAGCTCAGCTGGGCAGTCTGTAATCTCTCCGTTTCCTTTGGCTCTACTCTCTGAGGTCGAACTCACTGCGTCATTCCACCTCTGACGATCTGTGGAAACTGGGGCAGTTAGCTTAGTTTGATGGTTTGAGGCCTTTGAGTGTGAATGAAATGACAAACGTTTGAAGTCTTACTGTAAACGATAAGAGTAATCTCACTGAAGCCTTCATCAGCATTGTACAGGAGGACACTATGCGTAGTGCACCTCAGGTATTGAACTTGTGGCCGAGTACAGTCTGTAATCAGAGTGGAACCTGTTGCATCACCGACCACTCAGAACAGCCTTCAACATTCAGACAAGTGGAAGTCAGCTTCTTGCCATTTTTTTAAACTGCTATGGCCAGAGTCCAGAGAAGTGTGGGTAAACCATCTAGATCAAATAGTGCAGAGGAGCTGTTTTTAAAGCATCGAGATGTGCATCATGTGTGGCAGGCGGATGTACGGGGGAATCCAGAGTCCGTCCTCTGGAGAAGGCGACACATTACTGACTGCATTCTGACCCACGGACAACCGCAGAAAGCACTACTGAAACACGTGAGAGGAAGAAAGCCTTTAGGTTTGCCACATTGGGACACTCTCTTGGTGTGTGTGTGTGTGTGTGTGTGATCTTCTCCAATTCATAAAACTCTGACCTGACCAGCCCCTGCCCCCCCTCCCCCCAAAGATTAAAAAATATAAAAACATTGAAACAAGAGATCTGAAATTTAAAAAAACTAAGTGCCATCCTATTTTATGGTGGAGAAGTTGATATGTCTGCACGATGAGATCCAACTAGTAACAAAGATCAACACTTTTTTCATTGTTTTTCATTTTGATGATGATGAGCATGGTTTAAAGATCAAAAAAAGCAAAATAGCTTCCAAATTTTGGTACATATACGGATCTGGAACTTTTTTTTGTCTATCAGTTTTTTCTTTTTTTCACTGCGTCCCTTCTGCATCTCTGTAAGAGTCTGCACAGATAGAGAGGGGCGCGTCCATCCGCCCGTTTGTCCATCCATCTGTTTATCCCTGTGTCTGGACCTGCTGTGTCGGGTGCTTGCTTCCTGTTCCTGTTTCCTGCTTCCTGTCTGTCGGTGGGCGGGGCCGTAGTCGTAAGCGTGAGCAGTACGCAGGGCAGGCAGGGACAGTCATTTGGCTATGTACACATTCATGGTCGGTCCATGGCTTCCAACAAACGGCAGCACTATTTCCGAAGGTCTAGTACACACACCTGGGACAGAAGAGGGAGGAGATGGATCACAATCACAGCTACACACCAGCAGACATGCATCCAGACAGCCCCGTGTAGACTTACAGATCCATCTGACGCGCTGGCTCCCACTTTGTCCCCTGCTGCATTCCAGCAAACCTCAAAGATTCCCCCCGTCCCTCTGTAACTGTGGACTAAAGCGCCCGTCTGCGGCACAACAGATAGAAGCAGAGAGTGAGGGGAGATAACAGGCAAAACATTCTTTTATGGAAATTCCATTTTCCTTTCTGCTCTATTTTCACCAATAGTGTCCATAAAAGCACAGAGTGCAGCAGGAGGCTAAAAACAGCAGTAATTGATTATATATATATATTAATTCTTTGGCCACTCGGGGGCAGCAGTTGTGCGTCTGTCCACCGACTTTGGTTCTGCCTGCTGCTGGAAACTGAGCTGCAGGCAAATCCAGAACAGTGAGCTAAATGATGGGTGCAGCTTTAAAGAACAACTCTCTCCACTCTGTCACCAGCTGCTTGCAAATAAATGTATGTGCACACACCATAACAAAATGAAAAACTGAGATCAGTCAAATGACGTATGTGTTTCTGCTCCTACCTGTGTATTCCAGATGTGCACACATTTGTCAAAGGAGCCGCTGGCCAGATGCCGACCATCGGGGCTGAAAGCCACGCTGTACACCGGCTCCTGGTGTTTAGTCAGCGTGTGGATGCAGATGCCTCTCTCCACATCCCATAGACGCACTGTGGAGTCAAACGACGCACTGTGGAGGTAGGAGACAGACACACGGGTTACAGAGAAGCTGATCAGGACACTGTGACGCTCTTAGAACCAGAGAGATGTTTCATTAACTAGGAGGCAGAAATGGTAAAGACTGTAGTGAAAACTAGGGCTGTACAATGGTGGCCACAATTACAATCATGATTAATTACACAGTGCTATTATGCTGTTGCACTAATACTGTGCATTAGGGCTGGGTGTCAGTCCAATTTATTGCCAATATATTCACAGGTATGTGTGCTGCGTGAGCGCCCCCTAACCCCTGGGGGGATGAGTGCCGAGTTCACTATGTGCAACGAGCTAGTTTTAACAAAATACACTAACCAAATGTCAAGAAAGGAAAAACACATATTCTTCATTAAACAGACACTACAACCGTACAGCTTCTAAATTCAACGTTCTCTCTTATACTGAACTAAGACCTTGAAAATATTGTGGCTCTCTGCGCTGCCGCTACCTCTCTGATGCCTGCAACCTCCCTCGCTCCTCTACCCACTCCATGCCTCTCCTCTCCAAAGTCCCCATCTTCTTCTTGTCTTGTTTGGAGCCCGTGAATCACTGTATAACTGTATTTCCTGTCATCAAACTAGTTGAAATGAACTCTTAATTTACCGCAGTCAGATGTGAAAATACACGTCACTGAGTGGCTCTCATTCTTTGGAGGGAGACCATTAAATTAGGAAAAGAAAATGACAAAAATCACCCCAAAAAACAACCGGTGAGGTATTCGCTCAACCCTACTGTGCATTACTTCAAAATAAAAGACAACTTGTGTTTCCCCAGTTAAATGCTTTTAATGTGAAGCGTCATTAACACAGCACTTTATCCCAGAATAAAAGTATGCAGACTGCAGGCCGTGGGTGCACAGCGGCATGACAGCCCACTAAAAGCGTAACCAGAAGGTCTTGATCGCCCCCTGGTGGCTGGCTGTTAGTTTAGGAAGCGTTTCATTTGATATGCAGCAGTGTACACATTGTAAACATAATTTAACTGTGCAGCCCTAGTTAAAACCAAAATTTGTTTTTGTAGTCTAGCTCACAAACAACATACTGTAAACCAGTGCTCCATTTACCTCACATTATCTCTGATATTTGGTCAATAGACGCTAAAAACAGGCTAGAAGTGTGAGAAGAGACAGTCCAGGTCACAGTCACTAAATCCAATCTATCAGCAAGAAAACTAGCCAGTAAGCTAATTGAGCAAAGCAAATGAAGTCAACATTTAAGTACAAACTGCTACACACACAGCTTATACTGTACTCATTTATTGTGTACAGCACAGTGGGCTCCTTCTCGGGTATCTAACTAGCATACTGATGTTGTTCATAAGACACGCAGAGCCTCACCTGGCTAGCATGAGGTTAGCACTAGGATTGTTGGTTCCAGGGCCAGTGGGACTCCATTTAATGGTGTAGATTTCTTTACTGTGGGCCTGCAGGTCATGGACACACGAGTCCTGCTTCATACTCCAAATCTGAAACAACACAGACCCCCAAAGTAAGAAAACGTTATCCTTGACTTTTAGTCACAGCATGTCAAACTGTAAGTGCATTACTTACAATTAATTAATGAACTATGATCATCATGTGTCACCTGGTCCTATTTCCTAAGACCATTCAAGCAACACAAAGTTTTGGCTTTTTACAGAGCAGCATAATGTTGGGATAGCATCTTTAAATGACATCAAGAGCACTTCTAAGAAGTGTACAGGCCAGTGAGATGGACTTTACATAATCTCCAGTCATCATGAACACATCAGAACTTTCTTTATGGCTCTGCACTGACAGCCCAAGGGTAGCAGCAATAGTGATATTAATGGCACAAGGTGTCCAATATTTCAGCGTTGGCTCCCAGCTCACCTTCAACGTCATGTCGTCTGAGCAGGAGGCTAGCAGGTTCCCTGTGGGATCCCACTTGATTGCATTTACTTCATTCTGGAGAAGAAGAAGAGAGGGATGAAGGGGTGTCGGCTTTCAACAAGGACGCCGTTTAAAATGAAGGTCTAACTGAATGCAAAGAAAAGGGCTAAACTGATGTTGATGTCATTTGTTATTTAATGCTTGTAAATACCCTCAGATCTCCTGTGGGTGCTGAAACAAACCACTTACTGTGTGTCCCTGGAATGTTTTAATGGGTCTGTCCTGTCCCAGTTTACAGACGTGGATACACATGTCTGTACTACAGGAGGCAAACGTGTTGTTGCTCTGCCAATCCACATCTAGTGCTGGAGCTGTGGGAGGTAGGAAGATGGATGTTAGCAGGATCAAAAATATACTGTAAGACATTACAGCAAACGGTAAAACTCTGTCACAAAGAGAGATGCTGTCCTACCTGAATGGAAGGGAAACTGTTGTTTGGCTTCTCCTGTGTGGGCATCCCATATGATTGTTGTCTGGCAGGACACATGTACATGTACGGTTAATGATCAGAGGATACATGATGATCAACATGTTGACAAAATGATTTAGTGAACATCCTGCTTCACCTTGTCTACTCCTGCACTGAGGATAAAATTGCCTTTTTTGTTCCACTTTAGAGCAAAGATGGGACCTTTGTGTTGGCCGAGTGTACTGGCCAGGTTTCCTGTGGAGCAGAGCACACAGACACGGAACCAAATCTGTAAGTATCAAATGAGGAATAAGGCTCTAAATAACACAACACAAAAAATACACTGCAAACCCAATGGCGGGATAAAAACATGCCTCTAGGTGGCAGTGTTGATCAAGGTTCAACAACACCATGTGGCAGAAATACCACAGCACAATCAATACTGAGCACTTCGTAATATAAAAGTGTTCTATACAGATATTTGTATATTAAGAACAATCATTTGAAGACGTTTCCCTCAATCTGTAATAATGCAGGGTTTCCTTCACACTCATGTTTAATAAATTAAAGTCATCTCACCATCCTTCGTCCATATTCTGGCAAAGCCGTCATAGGAGCCTGTGGCTAACAGTGTGCCCTCGCTCTGTCCGAGAGAAAGAGAAAGAAAGATTAAGAGAGTCAGTTTGGACACCCGCATTGTCTTTTGCAGTTGCAGTATTTTTCTCACACAGTCTAGGCTGAATGAATATTCAGCTGCTAATAGAGGAGAGGCCTGTGTTTTCCATCAGCGTGGACGCTTTCCAGGAATTTTGTGCCTCTGCCCTTGGCTCAGGTTTACAATCTGTTGGCTGAACTGAAGGAAAATTCCACTCTCTGATACTCTTCCACTGTTAACAGTTATGTTCGGAGTGCTCTGGGAGTTCCTCTGTGATAAGGTGTTTGTTGTAATTTGCCTTATTGGTATACACCAATAAAAGCAGATTAATTATCAAAAAAGTGAAGATAAAACCATTAAAACTTTGACGGTAAATATTTCTACCACTCACAAACTTTGACCTGCTCCCATATTGTGAATTGATGCACCCACACAGGGTGACTCGTGTTACATCATGTGTGTTAGCGTGCTTACATTCCAGTCTAGTGAGGTGACATCTTTGTTGCTGGGGACATCCTGTCCTCCCTCTCGTATGCAGTGTCTCAGGACCAGCTGTGTGGAGCTGCTCGTGCTGTTCTCACTCAGGTTCCAGATACGAGCTGTTGAATCACCAGACCTATGACACATGGACATATTTCTGATGGTCATACTGGGCCTACTGGTTGTTAAACTGTGACCACATAAACCACTTTCCCCTTTAAAGTCACTTGTCAGCAAGTCTATCCATTCAAATTGATTTTAACAGTTGTTTCATGTGACGTTGCCATTTTTCAGCCCCATGATACGGTAGCTCAGCATAGGTTGAACTATCAAGAAATCTGACCCAAATTTATTTTATATCACATGTAAAATTGAAACCTGTGCAAAACTTTAAGCAACTTGTTTCAGCTTTTAATTACCTTGTAATCATAATTTATACAACTGAAATGCATAAAATAACACAATATCATATCACAGAAAGATTCTGTGTATCATGTACATGTGTATATTTATTCAATATTAATGCTCTGTACAGCATGCAGTGTCTCTCCTGCAGCTGCTGACAGCTGAAGAGTCAATCCCACAGCACGGTAGAGGAGATGTTGTTATACATCTGTTTAGCCCGCCAGAGTCAGAAAAACATTCACTCTGCTTCCATCACCCTTTACTTTTCTTTACAGTTGCTCGTAGTGTTTGCCTGCTTTGAGTTTATTGCTGTTTAAATAAAAGGCATTATATGGTTTTTTAACATATGTCCAGTAACTGTTTTATATGGCCAGAATTATGTAATATTAACGCCCATATTGGCCTTAAAAAAGACTAGCATAAACTCTGTAAACAGATTGAAGTTCAAAAAATATATGATACACTGATTAATTCATTGACAGATAATGAACCACAATTAATTGTTAGAAATACCAAGCCAGTTGCTTCCTATCACCGCTCCACCAGGACAGTCTAATAAAGAAAGGCATGAAACCCCAACTAACACATAAGCATTTAAGTAGTGTTCACTTGTGTGAGTTATAGAGCGAGAGAGAGGGGAGAATAGCAGGACTAACCCCGATGCCAGCAGATCGCTGACTGGGTTCCAGGCACAGATGAAGACCTCTGATTCGTGGCCCCTCAAAACCATGGCCTTGTTCTGGGGAATCTCCACATCTCCATCCACGTCCATCAGTTCTGCGTGGTTGTCTGAGCACACACAGCGAGATGGCAGCATGAGTATAAAGGTATATTTCATTTATAACATGTATTATAGAATATTTTTGTCAAACTGCTATCCTCAAGGTCAAAAAGGATGAAAGTTCTGCTTATTGCAGGTAGCGAACCTTCACTGCATGTCCTTTCCTATTTGTAAACACATTACTCACTAGCTAAGGCGTGGGCTCCGTTCTCCTCCCCGTTGGCAGTATTCTCTCCATTCTTCGCATTGCCAGCGATGCTGCCTCCGGTGGCTGATGTTGGTGCTGAAGCGGCAGCCTGCTGCTGGGCCATTTTGTCCCGGTAGGCCTGCTGCCTCGTCTGAACAACGTCAGGCATCACCGCATCAATAAGGGACAGAGACTCTATGGGCCGCCCATCAAATAATGTGCCGTCCTACAGAGTGGCAGAAATAACCAGTTAGAGAGGAGACACAGGAGAGGAGAGCACAGTTTGTATTATCTTGTTAGTGTCCCACCTCATTGATGCTGACTTCAGCCTCAACGTACTGCAGGCCCTTCTGGATGATGCTGATGAGGGCAGCAGGGGGAACCAGAGCACCATTTATGTTGGACTGGCTGATGTGGCTCTCTATACCAAATGTAAACGCTGAGTGGGAGAACCCTGCAGAAGAAGAGAGGGAAGATATTTTGAACATTGAGAGGCAATGAATCACAGGAAAGAATATTTCCCTCAAATTATTATTAACACAACATGATTTATTAAAGGGTATACACATTTTGTGTTTTACCCACTGCCATAAAAGTATATTCTCCTTACACACTACTGCATATATTCTTTTCAATTCAGGTTCTTGAGGTTATACCAGAGATTGTTTGTATTGCAACCTCTGGCTACAACTGCCACCCAGCATACTAACTGAACTGAATTCCCACCATCAGAGATCAGTGTTTTCACAACAAACAAAAACCATTAGCACATCCATATAATGAAGTACAGTGTGTGTTTATATCAGTTAGACTCATGATGATTCTAATTTGTAAATGGAAGATGATGGGAATGTCCTTTTTAAACCCAACCCAGCTTTAACACGTTTGTTACACTCACAAAATCGATTCCAAATACTTCAAGAGTCATGTTCAGCCAGTACTTTTGAACTTATCAAAAGCAATTTCACCACATCTGCACCAGCTGAGCCCAGACCCTCCATCTATGAAAAATGCACATGATAACATGGCTGGACCACAACCAAGGCCTGTACTCCACAGCCGATAAATCAGCTTATACAATCCCATATCTCTCACAGACTGCTGACTGCACATAGCTTTTTATCTGCACCACTTTGGTGTTTGAGTGAAAGCTGGGACAGCAATACCACCATGGAAGGATGTTCTGATCATCACATGGGCCATCTGTGTCTTACCAAATATATTATGTAATAAATATAATACGGGTCAGGAAGGTAAGTTACAGACAGCACAGTTTTCAATGATACACAGCAGCTGCAATGAGCGTCTTCTGCAGTGATATGGGGGGTTTGGTTTATATAGCTAACCACAGTTAAAGGTTACGGTCCCACCGACAGAGCTCCTCACACAAAGGGCAGGACGCTGCTATTTATGGATAGTAAGCCATACTTGTAGACTGAATTCACTCCTAATGTGCAGGTCTTGGGGTGAAGGTTCTATATATATAAATGCAGTCTATTCACCATCTGATTTAGTGGTGGATGACCGGCCATCGCTCTGTCCCACTGTATGGTTCATTCTGACTGAGTGGGAAGAACTGTACTGTGCTGTTCATACAGCTCTACATGTATATACAACTGTGCACTACACTGTAGTGACAACACAATGTGTGTGGGTCAGCATGTTAGGTGGATACACCAATATTACAAGCAACAACATTCAGTCATCTTTAACTGGTTCTCCTTACTTTTCTCTTTACACTTTTAATCAGTGGTATTTAATTTAAAAAATTGAAATAGTGAAAAACTGTGGATGTAAAAATCTGATTGGTAGGAAAGCAAACCACTAAAAAAGTGAGTTNNATTTATAGAATGCAGACATGATGGAACCAGGGAGTTGAGAGAATACCTGACTCCTGTAGGTATCTGTAGACCAGGAAGTTGACCTCATCACTGCTAATGCTCATCTTTATTCCTGTTACACCATGAGGTCAGCACGCACACACCTAGCCTGGAAAACAGAGAGATTCATCAGTGAAGGGAAACATCATTAAATCATTAACATCGCTACCCATCAATGCACATGATACATGCACACAATAATATAAATGATGTGACAGCAGTACAGTATGAATTCAATTCAAAACTAAAATTATTATGGAAATAGAAGCAACTGTTGACCTAGTATATGCCAAAGTCTAGTCCAGTTTAAGGTCTACTAAAATGTGTGCAATTATAAAAATACATTTAGTCCTCAGAGAGAGCAGTTAGTTATATAGTTATATAGTAAATGGCAAAACATTTGAACCTGCTCAAACTTTTGCTGGAATGCCATCCCACAAGGAACTGTATTGGCCAGTCAAATACAAACAAGCACACATTCCTGGTCGATTACTATGTAATGTGAACTCTTTATTTCTACTGTTGCCTCATAATCATCACAACAAAAGATCAAAAGAGCACTGCCATGGTAATTTTCCAGAGCAGTAAAATCCTGTCTCAGAACATTATTAACCCCTTCGCAGTGTTTCTGTTAAGCTGGACTTCCGGGATCATATTTCATCTCACTGCCTGTACCTGAAGCAACCAAGCCCCTTTTTTAAGTAAAGCTGTTTTCTGTCTTAATGCCTGCAAGTCAAGTTAAAAGTGGCCTACGGATGCTTTCAGCTGTCCCCATCTCTTTACACTAGCCTTGTCACATCTAAGTGGTCTCTCAAGAGTATCCTCACTATGTGTATGTATGTATGTGTGGAGGTTAGGGATGGGAATCAAGAACCAGTTCCAAATTGTCCGATCCACTGGAATCATATGCATCCAACATAATTAATTCCTTTTATCAATGGCAGAAAGGGAGAAACGGTAGCGTGGCTTCATTTCATGAAGAAAGACGACAACAGTGCCCATTGTCATGTCTGATATTTTGAAGTAAGTGGAAACTCCAGTAATATGCTCAAACATCTTTCTACACAACTGGATTGAATATTTTCTTCAGCTGCTCTTTCTACTAGAGATGAACCGATCCACTTTTTTTACAGTTCTATCCCATTCCAATTCCTGAATTTGATATCTGTCGATACTGATGTTGGCCACATTACAAGACAGCCTACAACACTTTGTTTCCGAGGCTAAATTAAGTTAGCCATACCTAGTTAACTCAGTTGCAGACTCATGTTATGTTACGGTGGGTTCATGGTTCAACACAAGCTCCGCCTGGACGTCTAACAAAAACTAAAAAAGACAAAAGGATGTGGGGACTGCGGGACATCTTTCTGGAATTGTTAAATTAATATGAGCTAAAACATTTTGTTTATGACCTTATGTCATTATCCAGCATTATTAGGCTACATATTTATCATAAAAACATCAGATTATGGAAGCTGGATTGGTGGGGTCAGTCCTATATCCGATGTTGGGTTTTTTGCTTCACCATCTTACAGTAGGGGTATTAGGCAGGCTGGTTGTCCACTAATCAGAAGGTTGGTAGTTTCGATCCCCGGCTCTTCCTGCTGCGTGTATCAAAGTGTCCTTGAGCAAGATACTGAACCCCAAATTCCTCCCTTGCTGTGCATTGGTGTGTGAATGTGGAGGTGTTTCTGTTTGTGATGGCCTCTGCCATCAGTGCATGAATGTGTGTGAATGGGTGAATGTGTCATGTACTGTGCAGTGCTTTGAGTGCTCGGAAGACTATAAAGGCGCTATAAAATCCATTTAACATTTAAAGTGTGCTTTCTCAATCCCAACCCGATTCTCACTCATAAATCGCTGACCTCTTATGAATCATTGAATACACTAAATTGGGTACCAATCCACTACAAACTACTCAACTGAAAAATACAAGGGGGACAGATATCACCAGGACTGGAACACTGGACAGGACTTGGCTGGTTTGTGCAGCCAAGCACATGTCAGGGGATCATGATTCATTTTGCTTTTGTCTGTGGCTTCATGAACTAAGACGGTTGGGAACCACAACTTTAAAAGCTCACTGAGAGCCAGAGAGCCGGTTCCAAATAAGGACCAGCTCAAAGCCCATTTCCCCTGAGAATAATCAGCCATGTAATGCCTGGAGCTCAGTGTCTGCAGCCCCCTCTCCCAAGAGAAGGAGACTTTCTGTGCATTTAATGGCATTTAAGTGGATAAAACACTCTCCGGGGTACTGTGAGCGCTGGGTTGCATTTCATTTCCCAGGATGTTAGACTTTCGTCGTCTGGCACAGCAAAACATTTAGTATGACCTGTGGCCTTCACCCTGCAGAATGTCACACTCAGGGGACCAGAAAGTAGTCCGGATCAGACTGTGTTAACATTAACAGCCATTTAATGCTCTTCTGACAAACTAACACCATAAACAAACAATATATTCTTCAGGAAACTGTGATCAACATTTTGTTAGTTACAGCCCTACTAAAGTAACTCCGGTGAATTTCTGCTCATCTCTGTAGTCAACCAACAACAACAACAAAAACAACAACAACAACAGCAGCAGTAGCAGCAGCAGACACTAGAGATATAGCCAACAGACTCAGAGCCAGTTGCATCACCTAGACAAGAGAATAAGCTGCCGTGGCTGAGCTGTCCGGGGATCTGTCCATGACCCATGAGGCGGGCACTCTGTGGCCAAGACAGCAGAGGAGGAGTTGATGCTGGCTCACCGATACTTATCTGTGTCTGGACCTTGTTTCTCTAGTGAGAGATAATTGTGTCTTCCATAGACACAACTGTAAGCCAGCGGGTTGTTGTGAGGGTCAGAGACAGTCAGTTAGACAAACTAAAACCACATGCCTTAGATGAGGATTTCAGCTCACAATTACAAACACTGTGACACAAGTAGCTCAGTGCTGACTGGCAAGATGTCATGGTGTTCAAATGAGTCGTCAACCGCCCCGTGAAACACCAGCATTGCTGACATACTGTACTCTTAATTAGGCCATTATTAAACCAGAAGCAGCTGTCGGGCTGCTTTCACTTCCAATTTACAAAGGTTCCACACTGCAAACAGTTCAGCTGCATATTAGCTATAGCATACCACACAGCAGCACCTTGCAGTTAGTGTGTTAATGACAGACATGTATGACAGCCACTGTTGAAAATACTGCAGCAGGGTGAAAATAAACTCTAATAAACTTCTGTCCAGTGCCAGTTCATTAAGACAGACTTGAATGGCTCTGAATCTAGAGATCTCTAGTTATCCCTCTATAGAAATAAATACACTGTGAGCACACACACGCAAACTGTTATGCAATGCAGTGAAACTCAGGAAATTATTTTTGAGGCTGTAGCTTATGGTGTTGTATTAGAGAGCATTACTGTGTTATATATCTTTAATAATATACCTTGAATAAGTGGGAACAACATCAGTAATAATCATTCAAAAGATATGCCCAATTAAAAAGCATGACAAACAATGACCATGGAGTTGAATCGACACACATAAATACATTTGAAAGAAGTGTTTGTGCAGGGTTGTTTGGATTGTTCTGCTCACTGTAAACTCCACTTCAATTCATACTTTGCAGTCGCCGTTGATTACCATGGTTACCTGGCGGGCAAGAAACATATATATTTACATATATCATATACGTCACCTTACACCACACAAACAATGAAAGCCTTACAAAAGTACGCGATAGCTCTCTTTGTGTGTCAAGGAGTGGATGCGGCTTAACAAACGCTGCCTCGTATGGGAGGTGACACAAACAAGGAATGTCTTCATATCAAGCACAACATGAGTGTTACTAGTGTAGCGTAAGTTAGCCTAACGTTTTTGCTCCCTTAACGTTTGCCATGTTTGTAGGCTATACACAAAGTGATCATCTGTATCCTCGTGCGTGTGATGAACTCTTCATATGAATAATGTACACCCTGCCTGGCCGCGCCATATGAGCAGCCTAGATACGTTACACGTTAGTCTTCAAAAAAACCTTCTGCCAACTTAGGCCTGCTAGTATATCATCGGCTAGCAGAAATGGTCAAACACTGCTAGGCGCTCCCTGCTGATCGCACTCCAGCAAGATGCTCTGACAACAGATCAAGAGCAGCAGCGGGCGCGAGCGACAATGCCTTTTCCTGCTAGCCAATCTGTTGGCCTGTAACGTTAATGTAGTAGTAAAACTGCTACGATAGTTATGTGCACAAAGTAACTGTAAGTAAGTAGGCGCAGTACACACCAGTAAGGTGTCGCTACTGTAAATGGTATTTCTTCTTCTCATCTATTCAAATCAATCACGTACTATGACATATCTACTATACTTTCGTATAGCTAAAACTGGCCGACGTCCTGTGGCAACATCTTGATTAGTTTACTGGGTTTCTGTTGGCTGGGCAGAGAACGATGCTTGCTTGCGCCCGCCAGCTAGTAGTTGTGACGTCACGTGCAAAGTATGAATACTGCCTTAATGCCACACCTGGCTTAGAGTTCAACATCCTGACATCTGACCAAATTCAACTCCAGATGTACAATGCTCCTGCAGACCTGTGTTATATCAGGAGAGTGGAAAACAGCTCTGAACCAAAGGACACAAACTGAAACAAATGACATAATTACAGCTGAGTTGGCAACTGTCTGAGGCAGGGTGGGGCAGAAATTCTCTACATCACCACTGAGACTTGATCTAAACTTGATAGTGTTCCTATTAACCTCACTGTATGTGAGGGGAAAAACAGCCAAGAAAAAGTCTTTTTTTTTTACTTACGGACAAGAAAAATGCTATTTCTTGCATTTTGTTTTTTCTTTCACCTTGCATTTGCTTTTCACATCAAAAAAATCACTATGAATCAGGGATTGCATCTGACCAACTCAAAAGGTAGAAAGGATCAGATGTCTGGTGCTTATAAATCACCCAATTACAATTATGTAAGCAACCATTTCCACACTACACTAACGTGCAACATCATGTCCATTGCTTAACACCGTGTCTACACAGCCTGCATAGCAATAGAATGTTAGCAGAGTAGCTTGAATACTCTTCACATTTACACACACGTAGTGTGGCTAAAATGTGAGCTGTTACCC